TAACCCTATGGCGCACATGAGCACGCGCCACGGGCGCACCCCCGGCCACATCGTGCCCAAAATTTAATACGACCTGTTGAATGACGTGACCCACGAGTCGTGAAAATTTCACCCTCCTGCGTCAATCGACGGCGCCGTAATACGCCTTTTAGGGAGTAACCCCGACGGCGGCGGCGAACTTTTTAAGATTTATAATAGTAGACTAGAGGTACAGGTTTACGCGATAACTCTATGTTTTGATTTATGTTATGTTACGGGTGCATTAGTTTTGGGTGATTGACTTGTATTTTTAGCTGTATTATTTGGGTAGGTTTGGGTAGCTGTTTTTAATTGAACTGTAAGGGATGGTGATAGTTGCGGTGTGTTCAAGTGTTTTGTATGTTGGGCCCTTTTTGAACTCAACCCTACCCCTACCCTATCCCTACCCTATCCTACCCTACCCCCTACCCTATCCTGCCCTACCCTACCCTACCCTACTACCCTACCCTACCATGCCCTACCCTACCCCTACCCTACCCTACCCTACTCCTACACTACCCTACCCTACCTTACCCTACCCTTACCCTACCCTACCGTACCCTACCCTACTCCTACCCTACCCTACCCTACAGGGGCGTCGCCACGTTTCCCAAACTTGTACGGACAGCCAGTCGGTCCTCCACAGTGGCGCGGGAGCCCACCATGATGGAGATCAACCTAGGGTACCCCCAAATCTAGTTTTCTCATCGGTTTTAGGCCACTTATTTTTCAGCCCTTGGCATTTTCAACGAAAAAAAAAAACGAAAACATTTGCGAAAAAGTGAGGCATTCCGTCTCAGCTGAGTGAAGAAACTACTTTTTGGCAACCTGGAATACAGGTTTTAATCTGCCAAATGAGTTGCTGAGCCAATGAAAGAGGTGATTTTTTGCTCAAAGGCCCAAGCAAGAACAGGTAAAACACTGTTAATAACACTGCGCTATCAAAGAAATGTGCCAGAACAGGACTAGCGTCTATCCTACTAGTGGCAAGCTCACGCGGAGCACACCGACACCAGACTATTTTCATGTTATTGAGAATTAGTTGTTGCTCGTTGGTTGTTGAACACAATACTTCCTTCCGAATATTTCGCGGTAAAAACTTATTACGATGTGAATTATTTATGTACAGTGAGCACAGCTCATCAAAACCATGTGGCTGGGTAGCAAAAATGCATCCGATCCAACCAATGACTTGAAGAAACGAGTGAAGCTCTCTCACTTCGTGGGTGCCTGTCTTTCTTTTGCGAATTTATAAAGTTTCCGTTAAGGAACCGATATACTGTATATGCCTACCCTGGAGCCGATCAACAATTTATTGAACATATACATAAGCATTCAGTACCTATCTCCGGAATGAGAGGACCTTTCATCAGATTGCCCTCGTGCTCGTGATCTCATTTGTCAAAACTTGGTCAAAACACTTTATGCGAGTCAGCAACGTAAATGTTCGTGTCAGTTCACGTATCTCCATACTACTGCAGGACACAATCAGTGACCAGACCAGTCCACCACAAAACAAAACTTTTTTCAATCATCAACATTGAAAGAGCACCCTGAGCTCTCAGAGCATCTCGAGCTCTCAGAGGACCCTGAGCTTTCACATCTTTCCAAACACCTTCTGACGCTGAGCATTGAGAGCTACAAACTCACGAGCGATTTCACGTGCTTCCACTGCCCTGACACGGTCTTTGTGAACATGAAGGACAGCGACGGAGTTAAGCCGCTTCTGGGTCATAGTTGATCGTAGCCAAGTCTTCAGCCGTCTCAAAGCACTGAAGGAACGCTCGGCGGTGGCCGAGCTGGAGGGAAGCACCAAAAGCAGACGGATGAGTCGCTCCACGTTTGGTAGCAGCTTTGAAGCGGTACCAAGATTCCGGAATGTTTCCACAGCCTCGCTCAGAGACTTGGACAGTTTGTGGCTTTTGAAGACTTCCAGTTCAGTGGCCAGGCTTCCTTTGTCAATCTCAGGTGGCCAGTGCTTGATCGTGCGCTGCACGGCCCGTGTGGAGTCTTGTGTAGACACGTTCAGGAGGAGACTTTCGAGCTTTAGTGCTTCATGAATGCCATCTCCCTCAAAGCGTTCGTGGAGCTCCATGGCTGATGCGTCAAGGAAACTGATATACTCTCTCCGCAGCCATTCCTGAGTTGATAAGGGAGCACTGTGTGCTGCTCGTCCTGTCAGTCTTGAAGGCGGACCCCTCCGCCGTGGAGGCTCGGGCTTCTCCAATGTCAGATCTTCCGCCTCTTTCAGCAGCCCTTCTATGGTGCTATCAGCGGTCTCACGCAGGACCTGAATGTGGGCTTTCAAACCAGCAACCGTCTCGACCAGCTCCGACACCGTGCACGTGGACCGTTGCACACTTGTTGTGGCTCGATGCAGAGGCTGCAGCACAGAGCGTGCCAGTCCCAAAGCGACGTACGTGGCCCCTTTGGCAAACGTATTGCCCAGCCCCTGCGCTCTGATGGCGACATGGCCGCCGTTCTCTTCTAGCTCTTCAAGTGCCCGTGTGACCACCGGATATTGCTCCATGACTGCCTCTACGGCTTTCAGTCGGATGCTCCAGCGCGTAGGGCACAGAGGACGCAGTTTTCTTGGAGACACTTGCTCTGATTGACAGATGTTGTCAAACTTTTTTCTCATGATCATGGAGTCTGAGAAAAGCACTCCAAGCTCATTTACGCTATGCAGAAAGTTCCGCACAAGCTCGGATGCCTCACAACTGTCCTTGGCGACCAAGTTCAAACAGTGAGCACCACAATGTACGTAGTCGTACAAAGCATTCGGCTGCACGGCACGTATCAGTGCCTGAGCTCCTTTGAAGGATCCGCTCATGTTGGCCGCTCCATCGAAGGCGAGACCTCTTAGGTTGTCGAGAGACAGGCCCAGCCGTAGCATTGCATCTCGCATCATTTTTGACAACCCATCTCCAGTAGTCGACTCCGGCTCATAGAATCCAATAAACTGCTCTTGGGTGTCCAGGTTTTGAGTGGTGTATCGTACACAGATTGACTGCTGCTCCACGCCACTGACATCTTGGGTCCCATCAACTATCAGGGCGAACGGTGTGGGACCGTTTGCGCTTATGTCATGGACGATGCCTCTGAGCACGCGATGAGAGGTTAGTACAAGAAGCTCGTTCCAGGGGCGGAGCTTCCTATACAGTTGGTGGGGCGGCTGCCCCACCAACTTGGTATTTTGCCCCACCAATAAGCGTTTTGCCCCACCAACTTAAGCTGATTTTTAAGACTTTGTTGCTTGGCAAATTAATCTTTTTTCGCATTGAATAGCTTTGGAATGTCTGTTTGATGCAAAATAATATGTCTGTAATGATATGAATTGATTCAGTGTGGCATTTTATTCAACTTTATAATCGGACATTGTGGGTTTGACGACTTTTTGCCCCACCAACTTCCCTGGAAAAGCTCCACCCATGGCTCGTTCTGGACCTCGGCCCCTGTGTATGGGTTGGATCGCTTAAGCCACGTTTTTAGGGTACACGAATCATCGGCACGGAGCCTCAACAACTCTGAAAGATTTCCCCCTTCCCCCTCATGGCCCCTCAGTGCAAGTCCCTGTTGGCCCAAGAACATGACACTTGTCACGATCTTCATCAGGGCTTCCTGGGCCTGAGCCTGAGATTTCGCAGCCACCGTAGACACTAGGGCAGCTACGGACTCTCGGTTGTTGAGCAGGCTAGCTAAAGCATCCTTGTGATAATCCGAGACATTGTGTCCTCTCAAAAGTCTTGCCCCATCCTTCCAATTTGTATGTATGTATGTATGTATTGACACCAAAAGCCTTCCACATATGGCGTGGCGATTACGGCTTTTCAAATTTCCAAAACCAGTCTTGGTGAAGGACGTCTTGGTGCATGGTTTTTCCGGGTGCAGCTTTTCGAACTTCTGACAGATCACGCACAAGATTTTCCCCTTTTCAGCATCATAAGTTATCCAAGGATATGCACTGTACCAAGCCCCAACAAAGCCAAAGGTCCTTCCACTTGGGGTGGTCATTTTTGGAATTGATTGTGCAGGAGGCTGATTGCATTGGCTCAGCAAGCTGTCTTTGATGCCAGACGGTTGAGACGAGGATTGGGGCTGTGGCGTGACGGAGGCAGTGGCAATGTTGGCTGTAGCTCCAGGCATGCTGAGCTGGGACGAAGACGAGGACTGCAGTTCAGGAGCGGCGGCGTTTTTAGAGGAATCGTCGCTGGTTGAGACTCGGTGCTGGCTCGGTTGGGGTTCGGACGAGGCGGGATGTTCGCTGAGTGAGGTTTCTACTCCAGGAGCAGGACTGGAATGAAACAGTTAAGCCAGTTATGATACAAATCAGACCAACTGCTGCAGGGGAGTAGGAGAAAGGACAACTTAACAGCTTTTGTTTTTGTTGTTTTCCACATGATTTGGATGAGATGGCTAATAGCTGTACCTCATAGCTGTGCAATTGATCAGATCATATACTTTGATCCAGTTTTGCCAATTGCCATGCAATGGCTACCAGCCATGGTGTGGCATACAGTGTACCAATTCAGTATACACTGTAAAAAAAGTTTACCAACTAGTTAGTTATCCGGCCACTTTTCACTAACCATAGGCGTGTAAGCAAAACACGCATTTCATGACTAAGTGTGTTTTCAATTACACGCAAAAGGTTGAATAGCGTGTTTTGAAACACACCTCCTAGTTTTCGAATATTTGCCAGGTTACTAAGATAAGCCGTGTAAGCGTGTTTATTGACTATCATCGGTGTGTTTTGTTAATAACTACAGACGTGTTAGGTAACACATGTGTTTGTCACACGGCCACTTTTCACTATAGCTATATGCGTGTACGCAAAACACACATATTGTGTGTTAGCTAACTAAGCTGTGCGTATTAATAAACTAATTGCATTTTTTAGAACAGGCGTGTAACTTAACTAATGTGCGTGTTAGTCACCTCTTTTCACAGCCCCCCCCCCCCAAAAAAAAAAACGAATCGAATTAAACTCATCAAACATGTTTATTCAAAACTGCATTCAAGCTCCTTTCAGCAAGCTTACAACTGCATACAGTAATATTTCTCTTATTGTACTAAAAATGAACCTAAAAAAGTAATCTTCTGTAGGAAACTGCCGAGCGGCAAAGGCGCTCCGTTCTAAAGTTACGTTCTAAGCTATAGGCACAGAGCTACGCACAGAGATGCTTGAGACTCTGGACATGTCCCAGGGCGCGGTTCGAAGGGTTAACTGCCGAGCGGAAAAGACATTCCGTTATCAAGTTCTGTGCTCAGCTACTCACAGAGCTGCTCGAGACGCTGGACGTGTCACACGGTTTGAAAGTGTTAACAGCCGAGCGGCAAAGGCGTTCCGTTCTCAGGTTCCGTTCTAAGCTACTCACAGAGCTACGCACAGAGCTGCTTGAGACGCTGGACTCGTCCCAGGACACGGTTGGAAAGAGTTTGGTTGCCCCCCTTTTCAAAGATGTTCACCGTGATAAATATCAGAGCGTTCTTAGCCTTAGACACGGGACACTTCTGGTTGAACACTGGGAAAATCGCTGCCCACAGAAGCAGGAGATCAGCCTTGCTGCTCCGGTCCACCGACCTTGTCAAGCAGACCCCCTCGACGAAAAGGCCGATGGACCCGTCGTCGTTGACCTGGTAGTGCGGCGCGCTTCCTGATCCCTCAAAGATGTCCTCGGGGTTCGCGTCTAGGTAGTAGAGGAGAGACTCCACGCAGTCGGTGTCTGAAATAGAGGTAAATTTTCAGACTGATATTTACCTCTAACAGTATAACACTGCTACTTGCTAGCTGCTTGAGTTCTTCCGATCTCACGGATATCGTATAAAATGCCACCAAGGCCTCGAATTTCGAGACCATGCCGCTAACAACACAAATTTTGATATCTATTTTTTTGGGGGGGGAGGGTCAGTTTTCACCTGGTCATGTGAAAACTGGTCTGGTCGTCAGGTCAAGGATCAAGTGATTCGCCAATCCAATAAAGGTCGCTGAAGTATAACAGCACAAATGTCAGTATAACACCTGTTCGGCGATGAACGAACGAGCCCAAGAGGTGTCACGTTTATGAAACGCATACTGAACTAGCTGGCTGCTTTTGACCATATCACTGTTAATTCGATCAAATAAACAGCCGTGAGCCACCTCATGGGCGATGAAAGAGCGAGCAAGAGAAACAGGCGTCACAGAGTAATTTGCACGCTTAAACCTAACTAGTCAAGACCGTTTTGAAAACAAGGATAAACAATGCACAGACAAAGCACACGACACAAGTCAGAGTAGTATTTTGAATTTAGTTTTCATTCATCTGCTAGGTACTATAGTCTGTTCCATATCAAGCTTGCAGTCGGAGTTTCTTCGGCAGATCGCTCCTCCGCTCAAGAATTTGGTCTTAAAATGCAAGAGCTGTATATACAGAAATCACGCACTGCCTTCAGCAGGGCACCTCAGCTGCAAACTTGAAACGGAACAGAGTATACTAGGGTTACCCGCGTGCTCCGCAACGCGAAGGGGGGATTTTTGACCCGTGGGTATTGGGTTGGTCTGTATCGATTTGGTTTGTAGATATCCATTTCGTTTGATTGCTTTTTGACGGCCAAGCATTTTGTAAGAAAACAAAAAGATACATCGCATCGAGGTGCCCGCGTCGTATTATCATGCGTTCTACTTTAGAATGATTCGAAAACTGGCGTGAAGTCTTTTGAGGGCCATCGATGAATTTCGCTAAAAATGACAATGTAATGGTTTGGAACATTTACATTTTTAAGGATACTGTTGCTAATCATGCAAAAATGAAGAGTGAATATTGGACAGAATTGAATGCTCTATCCAATGATACCATATTCAATTGCCAAAGGTATCAGGTTATGCAGCAAACCCCGTGTGATTAATAAAGTGGCACAAAATTGACAAACACCATTTTCTCCTGTGATTTGCACCACCTTGATTTGGATCAATCAGCTTTTCACAATTTTTATATGAGAGGCGGTACCTTTCTCTTGCAAATAGGTGTTGATTCAACTCGCTCCATTTAACGGTCACCTAAAAATAAAATTAATTCCAAAATCCCTCAAAAACCGCAATTTTTCAAATAAAAGTGCCCTCTCCGGTGCACGTGGCGCGTGCTATCCTCTGCATTGCACACCATTCAATAGCCCGTTCAATTCTGTACACGATGCTGTTTTCCCCGTGCCGGTCGGACCCCTGGTCACCAAGATATTGCACGGGAACTGGACCCGTGTCGGCCAAAATTAGCCGTTTTCGCCCGATTTCGCACGCCGATTTATACATGTAAAGTCTATGACGCGAATTTGCACTTTTTGAGCACGCGCCACGCGCTCCCTATCAATCCGATCGAGCCCAGACCCCTCAAAGGCACGTCACGCATCCTTGATCTATAAGTTGTGCAAATTTCACCGCGCTAGGTGGAACGGTCTGGCCTGTAGTCCACGCAAAGCACCACCAAGTCGGGACCTCGGTAACGGACAGACGCACCCTCCTCAAATAGTAATATAGATATTTGAAAGTAATGAGCAGAGACGTGTCTCACGTCGCCCATAGGTTAGTAGTTCGGCAGCAATCTTGCATGGTCGTAATGGGGGGGGGGGGGGGGGCAATAGTTGACGTGAATGGTTTACCGTATTTACCTTGACATTCTGTGATCAGTTGGATGGCGGCGAGAAAGTCGCTCAGGCGCCGCCTGTAGTCACCAAGCTTAGACGACTCCGTCTCCCCCTCCAGTTTGGCCAGCTCACGCCAGATCTGGAACAACCGGTATCAACAATATAATTAGAGGACAGTTAAGTCATATTATAGAATCCTCCATGGATGAGAAAACGTCAGAAAGCTATGGTGGGCGACGAATAAAAGCCGAAACGATGCAACACACAGGGGACATTTTATGGAATTAGAGAGTAGGAATATAATGACAATTTTACAACTTCCAAGGCATACTTAGTACTTACTTCGTCTGGGTTCCGCAAGATTGGATACAGCTCCAAAAGCTTGCGCATGCTGGTGTGGAGCGTCACCACATGCCTGCGCCTGTCTGCGAACGTCGAGTTGATCAGGGCCTCTCGCTCAGCTTTGCCTTCGCTCGTCAGGTTAGCCTCGTGTAGATGCTTCAAGAGGCGGTTTCTCAGATGCTGAACGTCTTCCTCCGGCATAGGCGGAAGGTACTCTGTCGAAATGTTCATACGAAATGTTAGAGCCAGCGGGGGAGGAGGAGGGGGAGGAGGGAGAGAGAGAGAGAGAGAGAGAGAGAGAGAGAGAGAGAGAGAGAGAGAGAGAGAGAGAGAGAGAGAGAGCGAGAGCGAGCGAGAGAGCGAGAGAGAGAGAGAGAGAGAGAGAGAGAGAGAGAGAGAGAGAGAGAGAGAGAGAGAGAGAGAGAGAGAGAGAGAGAGAGAGACCGCTCTCTTCGCCCATGCCAATAACTTCATATGGCCAATGCAAAGTGGCACACTACCTTTAATATATGCAATGCAAAGCTTGCAGAAGGGCAAAATATTCACCACTAGTCGCTTATCAGTCACATGTACTACATCATACTACATCGCTGTCTTGCATTTCACAATGCACAATGCTTACCCTTGTAGCCTTCGAATCCTTCATATCGCGATCCCTTGAATGTTTTTCCGCGTGACAACCTCTTTGATGACGCTTGGAGTTCGGCATCACTTCCGTCGTCTCGTCGCTTCTCATTCCTTACGCCCCATTGTATTTTTGCTTTGACCTGCGACTGAGACAGGAAAAGCAGTGCATAAATTACAACCCAAGGGTAGATGTAACGTTAAGGGCGTTCAACATCCACTGCAGCTGGTATATAGAGGCAATGCATGGTTCACACGGAGGCTGAACTAAATGGTACTTCGACTCCGTAATTACTCGTAGACTTTATAACCTTTGTCCTTTGCCAATACCATATAAGGCACGCATTTCAAGCACATGAAGCTGATCCTTATGCGTTTGTGATGCTGACTTTAACTAGTCATCAAGTGAGAGTTGATTCCGGAGTCGGAGACAATTCCGAAGGGTCGGAATCGGAATCGGAGTCACTCAAAAACACATTGACTCTGCAACCCTCACATGCAGACATACATATTTACATACATACAAACATATACTTCATAGTATAGCACATACATACATACATACATGGATAATTATGCATATATCCAGTGCTGCGGAGTCGGAGTCGGAGTCGGAGTCGACCGGAGTCGGTAGTTTTGGCCGGAGTCGGAGTCGGAGTCGATAATTTTTCACCGACTCCGACTCCGGGCCGGAGTCGGAGTCGGTTTCAGCACATTTTTAATATTTTCCTTCTCTGTCGCGATGTTGACCAACATATTGACCTTACAAGCTGACCTTACAAGACATTCGGAGCCCGAACCGTTAACTGAATGCAAAACGGTTGAATAGGGTCGCAAGAGCTGTTGAATTATTCTCTTTGTGGCTATATAGCCCATATAATTTCCGACATACAGGGACATTTATCTGGCAATGTCCAAAGAGCACTTTCGCAAGTATTCATTACGAGCTTTCGTTTGCTTTTGTCTCGTCTTTCTAGTCCTCTTGGATTTCAAGTTGAACGGACAGGGAGTGGGGGAGGTCATTCTGACTCCCACCTTACCCCAAAGGCGAAAGTGGTTCAAACCTCCACCCCAGCGCGGGTTAGGAAATAAACTTGAAAACTAATTTTGAAGTGAAGTTTAGTTTAATTCCAAATTAACCACTATTGTTCCGCATTTAAACCAGTGCGAAGAAGCCGCCCATATTTAGAAACATTGGTCATGTAGGTATGTCAAAGTAGGGCGGGTCGGAGTCGGAGTTGGAGTCGGAGTCGATTTTTTCAAGACGGAGTCGTAGTCGGAGTCGGAGTCGCTAAAATTTGGTCGACTCCGCAGCCCTGAATATACATACAAGTATGGCCAGATCCAGGGCCGGAGCAGTTCGCAAACGCTTCAGTTCAGTTCATTCAGATCGACTTTACTTGAGGTTCAGTTCAATTACCTATTTTCCAATTCAGGACATGGTGACTAAGTGCCTCCGTTCAGTATATTCAGCTGAGTTCGATTAGATAAGTTCACGAACTGTCCCGGACCTGGACCGATGTCATTTTCTATTAGTTGATGGAATCAAACAGCAACGCAATAAGCAAGATTACTTTACTACTCAGGCTGGTTCACTAGGGAAATAAAGGCGCCGTGGTGACGTCACGGATTTGGTAGCAATCTGGTAGCAATTTTTGCAGACATCAATGGCGCACGTGTTGTTTGATCGTCGCCAATGCTATTTTACTGCACTATTTTGTTATTTCACTGCAATGTATTGTACATTACATTTGAAGATTAAAATAAAGAAATATTCGTAACCCAGCAAGTCAGTTATTCTTTGAGGCAGCACTCTGTCAGCATTGAGCCTTCAGAATGTGTTATTTGATAGACTTTCCCACATTTTCTACTCTTGTGGAAAACTTTCTTAGTCATCAAAAATGTATGCACATATGAATAATTAGAACTTCATTTTCAAAGTTTTATAGAAATAAGATTTCACATTACATTATCATAAGGCTACCTGTCCATTTCGTCCAACCAATTAAATATTCATCCAGCAGAAGGCAGGTACCTCTGAGAAGGTACTGATATCTCTTATCTACTGTACACCAATATTTCAGGAAAATGACAGAGACTGAGAAGCTATTAAAACTTCAGGGTATGAAAGGGATGTTATGGCTTATGCACATTGAAAAACATCAGATAATGCTTTTGAACCATCTCATTCACCAGCACACATCAATCCGGCTCCTGGCTTCTGTCAAGGAAACATTCCAAAATAATGCATTATTTTATTTCATTGACCACCTTGCAAAAGACAAACAGCAAACACATCACCACCAAAAACAAAAATAGTCAACAGGTAGGTACCAGCTGATCTAGCCGTACTGTGTCATGTGCCTTTGAAAAACTTGAGCAGTCAGGGTTGAATAAACACCCCAAACTTAGCCATTCATGCATGAACAAGTGCAAAATAAATAAAAATGAAACTAACAGCATTGTAGGTTACAATTATAAAAAAGACAATTACAAAAAACAGCAGAGCTTACTCTACAAGGCATAACCATTAATTTTATAACTGACATCCAAATTCGCATCTCCGAAGTTTAACCCACCTACCAGCCACCTGCACATTTCTGCGCGCATGTGCTGCGCATTGTGCACAGTCACTACACATTACACAATTATGAGAATTAAAATAGTTTTAAACAATCAAGCAAGTCAGGACTGGTATGCAGTTTCACAAGTTCTCTCAACATCTTCAATTACCAACAATAAAGAGCACCTTGTGATCTCAGTAACTCCGCAGATCCATCTTCTGTTTTCCATTTTCAGTTTTTAATTGAAATATAAGTTCCATCTGGGAGACACATGTTGCATCATTATGTTTAAACAATTATTATGCTTGAACTTTTGATTTTTCATGTGAACTTCACTTCAAAAGTTGATTCAATTTTTAAAGTTGATATAGGTAATTTGTATAATGCTACGATCACGGCGCACCAAATCACAGATAACTTGAAAATAACCAAGCAAAAGCCAGATTCTTCAGCAAACTATGAGAGCTATCTGATCCATGCTGCGTTGAAATAATTGAAAATCGCCAAAATCAGTCGAAATATGACAATTAAATTAATATAAACTTCACAAAACTCTGATTTGTGAGGCAATGCGCAACAGAAATGCCAGGGAATATGGTAGTAATCTGGTAGCAATTATGAAGGATTTCCCCTGTAGCTGATAAAAATCACAAGAAACAATTTTTTTTAACGCAGAGGAAATCCTTCATTATGAGTTGCAAGGACCATTTGATAGGCCCATTTTAGTCAAATATAGGCCGATTTTTTCGATTTCAACCCCATTTATCGTAATGAGACGAATCCATTGGCTTAGTGGTACGTCTTTTGAACACATGTAGGCCTTAGATTTCTCCTTAGCCCGCCTGAAACACACCATGCTTTGCATGCATTTCTATGGGTGAAGGAAAATTCATGCGCCGTGATGACGTCACGGTAAAGGAATTCTGAAGCTCGTGAACGGGGGCTGGCAATAAGTGCTTACCAGTGCCTGTTTCGGGCTGCACCCAAAGTGCAGCGCCGGCCATTGAACAAGGGCGCGGTCAGCCAGCTCCATGTACCGAGCATGAGTAAGGTTCAGGACGCTTGGAAAAAGAAAGGGCATGGGAGAGCTTAACGACTTGGAGACGCTAGAACAGGAGTTTTCAGGGCAAGGCATAGACATAAGACATCATTTAAAGGAAATATGTAAACATGAAAGCACACCACACGAGACAGTAAAACCGACATAAAGGTGGAAGGCAGGAAGGTGTCACTGGGTCATCCGAGGTCACCTGAGGTCACAAGCGGTTTTTGTGCAATAACTTTTGATTGAATTGAGATAAACTCCGTTCGACGATTATTGTGTTTGTCTCGTCAATGCGCATCGAATGAGATGAACCTTGCCCTGAGGTCAACTTTCAACTTGACCTTTTGAGGTCATATTATATATCATTCAACGCGCCTTGACGAGCTGAGAACAATGGCGTGCGAATTATGCCTCTATCTTTTCTGGATCAAAAGTTATTGAAGAAAAACTATCAAAAGCAAAAAAGAACATTTTTTCCTCGGTGACCTCTGGTGACCTAGTTTTTGGTCTGACCAAAAAATGACCAAAATACTTTCCTACTGGTTTTTAACGCTCTTTCGAACGCCGCCTATCGCTTGTCTCAACGATGCTCAGGAGTCGAGTTAGACGGGGGGTGTAAACCCCCTGCCCCGCGGCCCGCTGTGTTACAAATGGAGTACCGGCCCGGCGCGGGTTACGGCTAGGGCTGAATAAAAAATGTACCAAAAAATGCATGATAATAGTATTTTATGTTAACTTCAATGTCCTCAACCCGCGCTACAACAACACCACGTTGTCTACGGGGATGATACCTGTTACAAGCTTTCTCGAACGTCACGATGACTGTCGTCACTTCGCTCCACTCCGTCCTGGTCAGAGGTGAGCCGGGCTTTTTGCTTCGAAGCTTTTCGAGGAGTCCAGGTCTCAGCTGGCTGTCGTCAAACCGGATCACTTCCATGGCATCCAGGACTTCCATAGTATCCATCCTGCGAAGAAAACGAACCGAAATGGCATTAGTAACTGGTGGGTCGCCGCACCAGAGACCGACTACTGCGCCTAGTCACCACAGTCGAAGTCTTGCCGCGGCGCAGTATAGTCTATCCTCGCGATCGGAATAGATGTCAGTGCCAGTGGTCACCTGTCTGAGGAGCATTTTGGCAACAGGCAACCAAACTGGTGGACAAGCTGGGATTGGGTGGCACGGTTCGGCGCAGCGATCCGCGGGAAGGAAGACTGTCGATCTACTAACAAATATATAAAATTACGTAACTTTTCATACAGATTCATTCATAGAACTCTTGAGGTTTATAGAGGCCTGTGGTTCATTCGATTAAAATAAATGTAGAAATAACGATGAAAACTCGACACACCCGATTAAACAAGCGCTGAAAGGTTTAATTCCAAACGCATAAATACAAAGTCAGCCTGACAGACTCACCGAGACACTCCTGCGGTTTGTTGAGATTCGGCCAGAGCGTCGCTTCCCGACTTCGGCCGGATCTCTGCGTCTTCCCCTGATCGACGGAGTTCGGGCGACGTTGGAACTTGGAGGCTCCGGTGCATCCAGCTGCGAAACCACCACTGACGAAGTGGATGTCGTCCCAGTGCTGAAAATGGATGAGAGAAGATGTTTGATACAATACCAGATTAGGATAACATTTTTTTTCAGGACAATTTCCAACTACGCAAACATTCATAGGCCGAGCTTGTTCAATACTTACGAACGCAACTGAGCAAATTCAGTTGCAAATGATGATGGGCGTTTTTTTTCTTTTAGAGTTTTATAACTGCATTCTGCATAAGCAACATTTTATTTCTCAAAACAACCTAACTTAACAGAGATCGATGTCCTACCTTTCAAGAACAACCAGATCGCCACGCATGACGGTCCTGATGCGAGGCCGAACACCAGTTATCGCATCTTCCTCATTCAGCAGGACCCACGAGGACCAGTCGTCATCATAGATCTCCAGATCCCACTCGCCACCCTGGGGACAAAACATGTACACTCGGGGGCAGATTGATGTTCCACAACTCTTTATCCACCGGGTTCCTATGGCTCAGCATTGGCAGCAGCCGCCTGGTACCGGTAGACTGTGCCGCTTCACTTACTTGTCAAGCGGCACAGCCTACCCACACCGTATGCCACCGGTCTGGGTCGGTGGATGTAAGGCGATGTGGGCCGCCTGTGACGCAGCGCAGCGGTGAGGGCAGAGCCCGGAGGGATGGCTCGGGTCGGCGCGGCGCGGCGGCTGGCGAGGGCTGGGGAGTGAGGTGGGGTGGGAGCACGGACCATCGCGCGGCTGAGCGAGTGTAGTTAACTTTCGCGTCTCAAGGCGCCAATTATTCTACCTAACAATTGTGCTAAAGCAGTTGTTAAAATGTCCTATCCCCAAGACAGCGCCTATCATCATACTTGCCATGCACATTACGACACACTTAAACGTGACATTGGGACAGCCGATATAATTTATATCACACGTGCATCGAGTTGCGGAGCTACATTGTTTTTAACAGATATGTATTAACCCGCGCCCGGCTGGGGGTCCTGGATTTCCACGCCCTGCTGGGGGGGGGGGGTGTTTGAACACCCCCCCTTCTAACTCGGCTCCTGGGCCACGTAGCGATACGCGGAAGGCGGCGTTCGAAAGAGCGTCAAAAATAATGAGGAAATTACTTCGGTCAATTTTTTGGTCAGGTCAAAGGTCAGGTCACCAAAGGTCATTGAAGGCAAAATTTCGCCGATTTCCAGGTCGAATGTCGAAAATTTCCAAGAAGCCAACGCATAACTCGGGAACCAATAGAGCTACAGCGCCGCGGAAAAGCGCATTCGATAGCCCTATTAACGCCCTTTCTGAGTAATTCTCTCAGATTTGACCTAACGTCAACGGTTTTGCCTGCAGGGGGCAAAAACTGCAAAAATAGCCGATTTTTTCGGAAACAGTTTTTCTGCAATAACTTTTGACCCAAGCCTTGTACGAGCTTACTTTTACCGGCATCGTGTTCCTCTCGTCAAGACGCATCGAATGAACTATAATTTGACCTTGAAAGGTCAACTTGAAAATTTGACCTCAGGTCAAGGTCATGACCTGACCGGAAAGGGTCATGTTGCATATCAGTCGATCCGTATCGTCGAGCTGAACACATCTAAGGCGTTTTCATCGCTCTAGCATGCCTCTATCAAAAGTTATTTGCGAAAAACTGTTAGATACCATTCGTGACCTAAGATGACCTCAGGGCATAAACAGGGGTCACGGACACCATTTACATGTTCAGTGTGTCTAAACCACTTGTAATTCAGTGTTTGGGAGTGTTTATAATGTGTTTCATCCAAAAGAGGCGCATCTCAATTTTCTCCCATTGACTTATAATGGGGAGGTCGCAAAATTGACCTGACCTTAGGTCATCGATATCAAAATTCTGTGATATACATTTTGTACATGCTATTGCTCTTAGCAATCGCTGAAAGTTTCAAAGCGATCGGTCACTCGGTGTAGCTATGACAGACATTGAAACTTTTTATGAGGTGAGGTCACTTCAAGTGACCTGGTGACCTGACCTTGAATGACCTTGGTCTGAAATTTTCACAACATGTGTAGAATTGATGTATGATAAGGTGTACCAAAAACGGCGGCGCTCCGCGCCGCCGTTTTTGAGATATTCGCGAAAAACCACAAGGGGGGTGTTCAAACACCCCCCCCCCAGCAGGACGCGGGTTAAGGCCTTGATTGAGCTCATTTGGTGTCTATTATTTCGCACAGCAATCGTCCAGAGACGTGGGAACTGGGGTTTTTGGATAGCGCGGCGTCCCAACTCTTATGTTCCTCTAATGTGTGGTCGCAGCCACCAATAGCAAACCGTTCCATCTAGGAACAAATAAGTCGCGCACCTGGGACGGTTCGAACCGGGTTTCTCCAACCGGTCACCCCACGACGCTAGCCTGTATCCACTGAGCTGCCGAAACCAGCGACCACCCGCCGCGGTCAAACGCGATCAAATGTCACAATACTGTCATTGGCGGTCAGCGGGTGAATGTCATTTTGTTTTGTGCAGACGAGGACCATTCTCGGTAGCTCAGTGGATGAACGCTCGTGTCGTGAATTGGCCGGTGGGAGAAGCCCGGTTCGAACCCCCCTGAATGGCCGACTTTTTGGCTCCTAGTTGGAACGGTTTGCTATTGGAGGCTGCGACCACATATTAGAGCAACAGTAATAATCGCTTTAAATTGGAGCGTTGGCTGCGGCACTACTCATAACCCCCAGTTCCCACGTCTCTGGACGATTGCCGTGCGAAACAATAGACACCAATCTGCTCAATCAAAGCCTTAATACTAATATGTTATACAAAATATAGCTCCGCACCTCGATGCACGAGTGACATAAGTTCTATCGGCTGTCCCATTGCCACGCTTAAAGGAAATAGTTCACTTTTTAACATGGGTTTTGAACTGGAATAGCAGTTCCGTAGCCTGGGCTGAGACGAGCATAAATCAGGAGCTTTTACAGCCCAACGATCACCCTAGGCAAAGATATTCTATTTCTCGTCCCGAAAAAGGTGTCTTGCGTTGAGGATGTGTGCCTTGCATATATTCGCATCCAGTATGAAAAGAGCATGGGTACCGAAAATTCTTCAGAAACTAGAGAAATTATCTACGAGAACTCTAGAGAAATTCTCGTACTGATCAATAAGGACATTCAGCAGCAGCAGATCGCCCAACTGCCGGTGGCCGCGATGATTTCTCTAGTTTCTGAAGAATTTTCGGGACCCATGCTCTTTTCATACTGGATCGCCTGTGCCTTACAGAAACTGAAAAGTTCTTCCTATATCAAAATATAGAAAATAATCTTTTGCTATAAATAGGTTTTATTTTCTTTGCTGATCATTTTGAACATAAAAAATCATAAATCCATTGCAAAAAAAATAATTTCGTGAAAGTGAACTATTTCCTTTAAGTGTGTCGTAATGTGCATTGCAAGTATGATGATAGGCGCTGTCTTGGGGATAGGACATTTTAACAACTGCTTTAGCACAATTGTTAGGTAGAATAATTGGCGCCTTGAGACGCGAAAGTTAACTACACTCGCCCACCCACGCGATGTCCGTGCTCCCACCCCACCTCACTCCCCAGTCCTCGCCAGCCGCCGCGCCGCGCCGACCCGAGCCATGCCTCCGGGCTCGGCCCTCACCGCTGCGCTGACGTCACAGGCGGCCCACATCGCCTTCCAGCCACCGACCCAGACCGGTGTCATACAGGTGGGTAGGCTGTGCCGCTTGACAAGTAAGTGAAGCGGCACAGTCTACCGGTACCAGGCGGCTGCTGCCAATGCTGAGCCATAGGAACCCGGTGGATAAAGAGTTGTGGAACATCAATCTGCCCCCGAGTGTACCTCATTCGTAGCCAGGTCGGGAGTAGACCACACACATTAGTCGCTCCAAGGTGGAGAGGGGGATGGAAATGATAGGCAAACACATCCGACATTTTCATACTCAATCATTACGCATAATCATAGAGCCTTTGGTTGCACTCTTCTCTTTCCTGTTAGACTACTGACAACAGCTGCTGTAAATGGTTGATGTTGCATTTGAGATAGACTATGTATTTCCAACACATCAGCCTATTTTCAATCTGAGCCTCGTTCAGCAGCTTAACATTATGGTTTACGTAGGTATATGGCTTTGCATTACCTTAAACAAATTGTGTAAATAATTTTTTTTTTAAAATTCAGTGTCTCAAAATTTGTTGGTTTGGGCGGGAGATGACACCCAAGGGTGAATAATTTTCCACTCTCACTTTTGATTTTCAAAGTGAATTTTCCACTCTCAAATGTCTCTTTGGCATAAGTGAGTGGAAAACCCCTAACTCCAGCGATGTAATATTAAACTTCCTTGAGAATCAGTGCCGCTTTCCTCATTTACTGAGTTAATATCCCACATTTTGTTTCTAATTTTCCACTCTTATTGGCCTTTAAGGTTTCGAATTTTCCACTCTGACACCCAAGTAAATTGTAATTTTGGGACACTGCATTAAATTTTCTCCAAATGGTATTGTTTTACGGAGGCCGCTGTATTATACTTTCCATAATATGGACTTTTTTGCTCACAGACCTTAAAATATAGTACAAAATACTATTAGGTACTATATTTTAAGGTCTGTGAGCAAAAAAAAAAAAAACGTTATTTCAGCCTTTTACTTGAAACACGACATTGAGTCCCACCGTTAACTAAAATTATTCCGTCACTCTTCCAAAAAAACAAACAAACAAACAAACAAACAAACAATAAACTAACCTGCAGACCGAAGAACGCTCGAACCTTTTGAACAAGGTCCAGGACAGACTCGAATTCGAAGACGCTCGCAGCACTTTGATGGTTTACTAGCGCCTTCATCGTTGACCGCTGAAAAAAATATGACAAGTGGTTACATTAATTATCTAACTACAATGTCCTAAAATCATCGATAGCCATGGAGTGGGTGAAACAGCAAGCGAAACAGCACATGGTTTACTATTTACGCACACATTAGACACGTGGGTTGCACAGCTCACTTCACGGGTGGTTGGATAACATCGGGTATCCCAATCCTAAAAGACAGACATAGCTTATTTGAAAAGCTGAGACAATGCCGATTCTGAATGTCATCCAGAACGCTGAAAACGACGTTTTATAACCATATAACGCCTTCTGGGCGGTGCACGACCGAGCAAAAGAGAGGTTTTGCAGAGTATTTTACACGCGTCATGTCGGATAGAAGTTAACGACTGGAGATTCAGCAATTATGATGATGAAGATGATTAGCCAGATGCTCATTATTTAGGATCAAAATTGATAGAATAGTTGTATTACGTTTCACCCACGGGGCTTCTTCGGATACATATGTTTGTCATATGTATCCGAAGAAGCCCCGTGGGTGAAACGTAATACAACTATTCTATCAATTTTGATCCTAAATAATGAGCATCTGGCTAATCATCTTCATCATCATATGTAACACAATGCTCCGAACTAGCATCTCCATCCTCAAAAAAGATTCAGCAATTAACCTCGAATCTATTCAAGCCAAGACCCGGCTCGAAGGAGGTGGGGTAAGCACGTGCAGTGACGCCCCCAGTGTTGTCGAAGCTGCATGTCGGATCAGTCTCTACCTTCGTAGCAAATTTGAGCACAATCGCCTCATCCGTTCCCGAGATATAGGGGCGGTGTGTGCACGTGCGTTCATGCAATAGTTTCACCCCCATGGACGCGTGGAAGCCACATAACTGGCCGCCAGCTACCTGTCAGATATCAGAGCCAGTGTAAGACCCGAGTGAGTGTAAGTTTGCACTCACAATAGCCATAACAGCGAAGCAAATAGCTGCAATACTGCTCAATACAAGCAGTCGCGAGTTCGCAGTAAATCTGATACTTCAAATTGAAGCAAAATGCACAGATTACTCACCTTTCAGAGGTGATTCGGAGACCTGGTATCTGGTACCTGAGGGGCACGTATTTTGCGGTCTGCACTGAATAAGTAGCCAGCGGAGTGGGGTCAAAAATCCAAGCAGAAGGGATCATCATCATCTCGCCCTTAGTCACACGGTATGCCATATAGTGCTCATCAAACGAAAGCGCCCTCAAGACGTCACCGATGATTTTGACATGGTTTACTGCATCAAACTGAAAATATGCTACGCGAAGAAGATCACAGCTCTCTGAGCTTGAAGCAGCCGGGTTTCTCACGATCAGCACATCATCGACGCAGTACTTCTGTCCCGCAAGCACTGCCATCTTGGTGTACGTAGCTCGGTCATCCACCTCCCATCCGAATGCACCTGTAACTAGGCATGGCTTGCATTCCTTCCCCATCATCTTCTTTTGCTTTCCTTCGCATGCAGCTACCGCTTCTTGGTGTCGCACTGCCAGGGTTTTACAAATGTTCTTGGTGTTGTGTGCTCGAGATGCGTAGATCTTGAACTGCTGGTGTTTGGCTTCAAAAAGCATAGTCCAAGCTTTCCTCAAGGAACCAATTTGTGCTGCCCAGTGCCGGTAATGTAATAAGTAGTGGAACTTCGGCTTGATTTTGAAGTCCGGGAACATTCCACAGAACTCACGCAGCCACTGCTCTACTGAAGGTTGCATTCTTACAAGAATTTCACCGTCCATACGTGGAGCACAAATGAGTTGTACAAGAGAAAGCAAACCGGTCACAAGAAGCCACGCCTTTTGATCTGGTGGGACCAGTGGACCGATCATGAAAGGGAGAACTCGGAGGAAAGTCCAGCACTGACTGAAAGTGCCTTTGACGAGCACTTTGCGCCCCTTTGCTTGAAGCATGGGAGGAGTGTTCGCTTTGTCGACTCTCGCATATGAGAAGGATTTCATAGCCTTTTGAACTGAGGCGAATGTGAAGAGTTTGATTTGAAAAATCAGGTATGATAGCACCAGAGCCAAGGAATGATTGACTACGCCACTTTCAAACAGATCGTGCGCGATATCTGGTGGAAACATCTCTGTGACCTTAAAGTCTTTCAGCTCATCAAACACATATTTTGACTTGATACCAAATGCTTTTCGTGATTCCTCATTGTTTCCATTCTCACACATGCTCAGCTCTTCTTGGTACTCCTCCTCAGTACGAAGGGTCAGCTCTTGCTCTGTGAGCTTTGTACCAAAGTCCTCATTTGTGGCGTGGCATGTTCGGCATGGTCGCTGCCCTGACGAAAATGATTCCTGGAAGCCCGCCATCTTATGCACTCCCAGGTTGTCACCACACACAAACTCCACTTTGATATCAAAATGAGTGCCACAAGTATCCAGGCCATTGTTCAAGAGGTCACACAGGGAATCTGTCACAGGCTTCATGACTGTGTTCAAACCATGAAGCTTGGTGAGCTTTGTAGGACATAGTAGGAGGAGATGAATGTCACTCAGCACCGACATTGACAAGCCCTCATCGACCGCAAAATAGCAACCACCCAGACTATAATCAGATGCTTTCTTCCGCAGAGGGTTACACACACCAAATTCATCAAAGTAGAGCACAAGCTTGACCAATCTGTCCCGTTTGCAGTTTTCCAGCCTGCCATTTTCCAAGAGACTTGTCAGCTGTTTCTTGACATCCACATACTGATAGCTGGATTGGAATTCACCACCCCCTGTGGTAAGGATCTGAGTCGTAGGTGCAATGTAGCAGAGCTCCTCATGGCAGAATTTGCTCAATTTATACTCGCTTGCAAACTCTTCACAAGCCTGCTTAACTGAAGACGACTTTGATGCTCTGCTCGCATTCTGCTCCTTAAGAGCGGTGTCGACGATTTCTCCTATCTCACTAGCCACGAAAGATGTTGCAGCCCGTGACATCCCATGCTCACATTGCAATCGAAGCAAGAAACGTGCTATTTTCTCCCGGCTACTGTCTTCAGTTTTTGCTGTAGAGCCTTTCTCACCCTGATCATCCAAGCACCAGGCCTCAGTCTCAACCTCAGCTTCTTCCTGACAATGAGTACTGATTGAAGGTGCCTCCTCCAGACTTTGCCTTCCTTTCTCTTTGTGCGACTGTGACGTACTTTGCTTGACAGCATGGGTTCTTTCATAATGTCTCAGCCAGTAACATCCAGTTGTGAACCCTTTTGTACAACGCGGACAGAGAAATAAGTTGCAGTTCTCAGATTTATCCTTGAAGTGGTTATTGATATGCTGACAAAACAAAGCAATTGAGCTAGAAGAAAACAGACATAATGGAACTGTACAACGCAGAACCACTTCTACAGTTGCCTGAAAAGAGGAAAGCCTGTTATGACTTATGATTCAGTTGGGCAAACTACGGGGAGGAAATCACAAATGTGATTAATCACAAATGTGATCATTTTACGCCTATTTTGCAGCACTTTTGGAAAATCACAAAATTTCACAAAGGTTATGTCACCTGTAGCCAGATCCCAAACAATCAAAAACATGATAAGGAAAAGATGCCCTCCATGATGAGGGCTGTTCGGCCCGCGCATCCTATTGTAAAATTTTGCAGCATGCATGCGCAGTAGGGACCTTTCAGGCCTTATGCTCCGCCCACCACCGTATGACGTCACATGTGTGACATGGGCATCTGCAAAATCTTTCAGCTTCGCGCATCCTAAAATTTCAGGATGCAGGAGGCAAAAGTGGTGCAGACTTGGCGCAGACAACGTACAGTGGCGAAGTGTGCAGTGTTAACTAGTGAATTTATACAGTGTTTGGTGTTATTTTGTCGGTGCATAAATTGGAAATGGGTTGGTGAAGTTTTTCATTAGTTATTACGTCGCTGCTTGCTGGAATGGAGCGGCACGATTGTCTCGCGCAAAATATGTTGAGGAGGTGTTCGGTGCGTTCTGCGAAAGATTTTGCTCGACTGGATGGGCAGTGACATCATACAAGTGTGATGTCACAGTCGCGCAAAATATTTTGCAGCACCCGAACAGCCCTATGGTTTATCATGAAAATGATATAGATATAGATATAGATATTTATTCACAAAAGGTCCACTCAAAAGTGTGGCTTTTCACTTCCGCACGTCACAAAATAAGACATGAGTAAACATTCACACGCAGCTACGTAAACAGGGTTAAAAGGTTAAAATGAACTAAAAGAAGATAAAGAGCACCAGTTACATAGGAACATCTAAAATTATTCAGTTACCGGACGCCGACCGCTCGGACCTCAGGTGTCTTTTCACGGCTGCCCTGTTCACAGTGCCCTGCGTTCTGCGCACGCTGTTATAGCCCTGCACGGCGCTATAGCACAGCCGATTCCGCCCCTGAGCCAGCTGATTATGCAGTCAGCTGGCTGAACAACTTTTTGAAAAGGCTGTCAGCTGGCTGATCACAATACTGATAACCAAATCAGCTGGCAAATCATGAAGTTGATCCATACATCCATCCATACATAGGTAGGTACACCAATCATCCTGCTAACAATAGTGATATAGCTGGGTGATCACCACACTAAATCAGTCCTGGTCCAGTCTGCAAAATGTGGCATTCTTCGACGAGATCTTGTCTGGGCAGACACCGCAGGTCGGGGCAGAAATAGGGGCAGGTTTCCGGAATACTGGGGCAGAAGCAGGAAAATCTGGTGCAGAAGTTTAAAAAATTGACGGAAGTGATTTTCTCAGCTTCTCATTGCTTCCTACATCATTATATCATTACATTATTTGCATCATTAGGGGCAGGAATTGGGCTACCCCTGGACTCAGCATTCTGATTCGGGGCAGGATTTTGTCTGCCCTGAAAATCTTGTCGAGCTCCCTGCCATGTTTTGCAGACTGGAAATCAGTTGGGTAAACAGTGGCAGTGGCCATCTGTTTCATTTTTGGAAGCTTCCATTTTTTTAGTATGCTCTTCCAAAAATAGAAGGGCATTTTCCAAAAATAGGGATGAAACTTCCATAAATCGGGACGGAAAAGGCCTTGTCAAATTTTGGAAAATAACACCACCCTCCAAAAATGGCTTTCAGCATAGGTGTAGGAACGTTTTGAGAAGTGTGTGGGGGGGGGGAGGGGCAAGTCGAGCTGAGTATCCGATCTGATTGTAACGTAGCTGAAAGGTGGGTGGGCCATGGCCCGGCCGTCCCCCCCCCCCTGTTCCCACACCTATGGCTTTCAGTGCATTAGATCACACTTTGATGGCTTTCAATTATTCACAGAACATCAAAAATTAAACACTTTGATAACTAACTCACCTAAAATCTATAAAAATCGACAAAAATTGAAATCTTCTCGTAACGGGGTCATGCCAATAATGCGCGCCTAATCAAGGATGAAATGACTCACAAAAGAAAAATACTACATATGCAATGTGTGGGCAATAATGACGTCATAAGACCAAAAAGGAAATATCAGTAAAACTATGAAATATACTATTAAATGTCGTGTAAACAGTAAAATGGGACTAATAAACATATTTAAACCAGACTTAACAGAACCTTACCTAACCTAACTATATCTAAACTACAACCTACGGATGTTTGATGATGCGGTCTACTCGCTAGTTGCGAAAAGGGATAGGTCTTAGGCCAGGGATTTACTTATCAAAAATTAATTTTGCAAGCCACTGTACAAACAAATCTCCTTTTTTACTGATTCTTAAAGATAAACAGGCCTATCTCCGGTCATGCGGCCAGTAGTTACCCGCGGTAGTGTCGAAAATGCCGAGATAGCCCATATATAATAGGCGGAAAAACGGCCAAGGTAACCCGGAGAGCTTTGCATTCTTGCTATTTTTGGAAGATAATTTGTTGATTCATACTACAGTGACTTGCCCAAAAACCTACAATGTAACCCACATTATTTGTTTCAAATAAAAAATCGTAATTTTTATTCTAGATTTCCAAAAATGCTGCCCGCCATAAACCAGGGCATAAACTCCTTCACCTTGGCCTATCTTGGCCATTTCCGCCAATTTACATTCCGACTAGAAACGGCGGCTACGAAAGCTGATCTGTGACGTCCGGGATATGACGAAGTGGCTACATGACGCATAACGCTGAATGCCTCTGCCCGCCTCTGCACTAGCCGAAGTGAGCCGAAGTTCACTTCGGAATGTAAGTTTTTAGTGGCCACCCTAGAAGCCAAGGGCGTCGCCACAGGGGGGGGGGGATGGAGGGGATCTCGTCCCCTCCACTGTTTAAAAATTTTAACATTACGCCTATGGCGTTGCATGGAAAGAATCGACTTGAAATGGTCCTCGTCCCCTCCAAAATGGTCAATGTCCCCTCCAGACGTTGCACCGTGGCGTCGCCCCTGCTAGAAGCTTTAAAAAAAGGAACATATTACTGTTTTCCCAACTGAAGTGGGGTGGGCCTAAAATATTTGCTTTTCCCTTGCCTAACACATCTCCCATGTCAG